CTGGCCATGGACGATGACAAGGGGGTGGGGTCGGTCACCGAGCCCAACAGCTCCTCTGCGTCTGAGGCTGTCAATGACATGCTGTCATCAGGCAGCTCCTCCTCACTTCCCCCAAATGAGACCAGATTGCTCGCACAGGCAGAGGGACGCTGGGAAGACTGGGAGAAGAGGACGGGAGAACTCTCTCTCTGGGGCGAGGGCGAGGCACGCGGGATATGGGCTGTCGTGAGCTTGCTTGCAGCCGGATGCTCAAGTCCTCTGCCCCGTTGTTTTTTCCTCACAGATCCCTGGGAGGAAGAAAACGGGAGGGCGCGAGGGGTGTAGTCACTCTCTGAAAAGAAAGCAATCCGCGAGCGAAGAGAGGAGAGACTGAAGTTCTCGCAGTGAGAACAATCATTTCCCGTGAGCGCAGTTTCCGCGTGGGATTTCCCCAAGCAGGAAACGCACTCCGTGTGGCCGTCATCGGCATGCAGGGGAGATCCGCACGAACCGCAGTAACGGTGCGGCATTTGCAACCATGCCAAGTTCTTTTAGTTGCTGATCCTTCAGCTAGCAGCATCCCAAAAACTCTTTTAGAATGTGCCCAGACATTGATGTACTCATTGCTCTTCTGCATCGTGCAAGTTTCCCTGCACGAGCCACACTCGCAGCGCAACATTTGCAACAATGTTGCAAATGCTCCACCCATTCTGGCGGGCTTTGTCTCCATAGGCTCGTGCAGCTCCGCTGGTTCGTTTTTTCTACACTGCACGAACCAATGGCTGTGCAGTTTCACTGCATGATTGAAAAAAAGGCTTCAGTTCAGGAGAAAAAAGGCTTTTTCCCATAGCGTTTTAGCAGACGCAGTACAAGTGTAGTATCGACAGGGAACAGGCTTTATTCAGCTCTGATGTATTTAGGATACAGAGGCGTTATTGAGTCGTGCAAGTTTCCCTGCACGAGCCACACTCGCAGCGCAACATTTGCAACAATGTTGCAAATGCTCCACCCATTCTGGCGGGCTTTGTCTCCATAGGCTCGTGCAGCTCCGCTGGTTCGTTTTTTCTACACTGCACGAACCAATGGCTGTGCAGTTTCACTGCATGATTGAAAAAAAGGCTTCAGTTCAGGAGAAAAAAGGCTTTTTCCCATAGCGTTTTAGCAGACGCAGTACAAGTGTAGTATCGACAGGGAACAGGCTTTATTCAGCTCTGATGTATTTAGGATACAGAGGCGTTATTGAGTGACTGAGTTTAAGTGATTATTAAGTTAAGCTTAAAGTTCACATAAATTTGCTGATAATCAGTTTTAAGAACATCAGCAATTAAGCCTTGCCTGAGACTAAACATACTTTTAGGGGAATTAAGAATGAAAGAGTAGACCAGACCTCTTGAGTAGACACATCTTTATCTTCATGTTTTGTTTGTTTGTTTGTTTGTTTGTTTGTTTGTTTGGTGTATAATAGACAGAAAGCCTGCTCCTATTTTGTGCTGTCTGTTGTGCTTGCATGCTTTGGAAGCAAACAATAACTTAACAAAAAACTAACCCAGTTTATCAAAAACGCAATCCATTGTAGAAGCCTTGCAAAGTAACCACTCAAACTTTTAGGGGAATTAAGAATGAAAGAGTAGACCAGACCTCTTGAGTAGACACATCTTTATCTTCATGTTTTGTTTGTTTGTTTGTTTGTTTGTTTGGTGTATAATAGACAGAAAGCCTGCTCCTATTTTGTGCTGTCTGTTGTGCTTGCATGCTTTGGAAGCAAACAATAACTTAACAAAAAACTAACCCAGTTTATCAAAAACGCAATCCATTGTAGAAGCCTTGCAAAGTAACCACTCATAAATGCTTGTACTATTGTTGTACCTTGTTATTTATATTTATTTTTTAATGGGAAAAGACTATGGTTTGTTGATGTCATAGAGCAGTTTGTGTATTTGTCACTGAATACTCTACATATATATACAGGTGAATGGACAAATGGCTGTAGTGTCAAGGTATACAATATGTATCTTGGAGCACAGAATTCTAAATGACAGAAACAAATGTATTCATCACTGTGCAGTGTTTTATAGTAAAAATGAAACAACTGCACATTACTGCACATATATATATATATATTTATTTATTTCCTAAATGAAATAGAGTTGATTTTAATCTAAAAAAAAGAGTCCAAAAGCAGAAGTGTCAGAGGAGTGGGGCACAGAGAGGAGACCCGGCTGGCATCTTTAGCTGAAGTAGACACTGATCACAAGCATTCATTATGACATCAGCACTGGCAGTTAGATTGTGAATATAATTAGTGTAAATTTTAAACAACAACATTAAGAATGATACTTGTAATGATACCTATAACCATAACAACTCTAAGATAATCTGGCTGTTAAGCCTGAAGTCATGTGTCTTTTCCAGGTCCAAACTCTCCTTCAGATCACAAAAGCAAACAACACACAGTGTTAAAGGGGTCATATGATGTGATTTCAATTTTTCCTTTCTCTTTGGAGTGTTACAAGCTCTTGGTGCATAAAGAAGATCTGTAAAGTTGCAAAGACTAAAGTCTCAAATCCAAAGAGATATTCTTTATAAAAGAGTCAGCCCCGTCTACCTAAAACGGTTCATTCTAACACGCCCCCACATGTCTACGTCACGATGTGGGAAGATTTGCATAACGCTGCCCAAATGGTCCCGCAAAGAATGAAGGCGTAACTTTTATTCTCGCTGTAGTATTGTTGTTGCTGCCGCCATGTCGTGAAGACACTGTGTGTTTCGTTGTGAAAGCCCCAAAAGAGGACGATATGGCTTTGTCATGCCTGGAGCTGATCTGTGCTGGTCGCTGAGGAAATACATGTGGATCACCGGATCGGCTTACACCGTGGACGAAGCGAAGTCCAGCCCGGAGTCGTCACATGTGGTTGCCGCAAGCCCTCCGGACACTCCTTTGTCGAATCCGCCGGCCGCGCCGTTCTCAAGCCCGCCACCTCAGCTCACTCTAGCCCTCCAGCCATTCCTCACTTTAGCCCCCGGCCTCCGCTCACTCTAGCTCCCTTAGTGAGCTGGGCTGCTCACTCTAGCCCCCGGCCATGCAGCACATTTGATGGAGGACCGTTTCCTAATCCTGGTAGAGTAAACTACAATGCCAGCTGTTCTGACTCACATACTGTAAGTATGGTTTTAATATTTAAACAGTTTTTATATTTTATATTTTTTATATTTAAAGCAAGTTTTTTGATCAGTGTAGAGTAGGGCTTGTTGTTTGTCATTTCTCAATCCTGGTAGAGTAAACTACAATGCCAGCTGTTCTGACTCACATACTGTAAGTATGGTTTTAATATTTAAACAGTTTTTATATTTTATATTTAAAGCAAGTTTTTTGATCAGTGTAGAGTAGGGCTTGTTGTTTGTCATTTCTCTGATCACAAATGCAGACATGGTTTTATGTTTACGTGGCGCGATGTAATGCAATGCATAAAAAGACAGTATAAGTCATTATAATCAGTAATTATGTCCCCACTGGATGCAACGAATGCCTCGTTTATAATGGGTTTTCATGTTTTTGAATCATCGCTCCGGCCTGACAGGGCATCATCACAATATGGTAAGGGGCGTAACATTTCTGTCACACGCTTGAGGTATTCGGCCAATCATAATGCACTGGATAGCTGGCCAATCACAGCACACCTCTCTTTTCAGAACAATGAGCTTTGTAAAAATCTACGCGTTTCAGAAAGGCGGGGTTTTTTTTTTTACCTTAAACCGCATAAACACATTTCATTACACCAAATACACAAAATAATGTTCTTTTTAGCAACATCATATGACCCCTTTAAAGTGAGAGTTTACCCAAAAACGCAGGGGTCTTACCACGATCAAGGCATAGAAATGTAGTAAGGGCATCATTAAAATGGTCCATCAGTGGTTCAACCATAATTTTACAAAGCTACGAGAACACGTTTTGTATGCAAAGAAAACTAAAATAATGATTTTATTCAACAATTCTTCTCCGTGTCACCGTAGCACCATTTTGGAGAGTATCACGACGCATGCGCGTGCTTTGCTCTGAACGTAAACAACACATACACGTGCATGTTCAACATCAGCAGCACCACGCACAGGCATTGTTTACGTGCGGGAAAAACACGTGCATGCATCATGATACTCTCCAAAATGGTGCTACGGTGACACGGAGGAGAAGAATTGTTGAAAAAAGTCATTATTTTTGTTAGTTTTTTTTTTGCGCACAAGAAGTATTCTCATAGCTTCGTAAAATTACAATTGAACCACTGATGGACCATTTTAACAATGCCCTTACTACATTTCTGTGCCTTGATCGTGGTAGGACCCTTGCTGTCTATGGAGGGTCAGAAAGCTCTCGGTTTCATCAAAAATATCTTAATTTGTGTTCCGAAGATGAATGGAGGATCTACGGGTTTGAAACGATATGAGGGTGAGTAATTAATGACAATTTTTGGGTGAACTAACCCTTTAATATACAAAACACATGGTGTGCTGTACAGTACTACCGAAAAATCATGATCTTGACCATTATCTTCAGAGCAAAATCTCACTTTGTGTGACAGTGATTGATCTTTTCTGAATTGTTAAAATATTGATGTCTTTGGCACTGTAACCAGAGCCTGTTAAGGTTAAGGTGTGCGGTCAATGAATTGTGCTCATAAACGGCTTTTGAGATGGTATTCTCACTTGAAACCGAGTCAAAGCTTTGACCCAGAAACATTACTATCGGTCAATACATCACGACAACGATGGTAACAACACAAAGGAGCAATACAGTATTGTTCTGCTATCGGGATCACTTTCAGAACTGAAAGGTAAAAACAGCCATCTGTCTGATTTTTACATTTTACATTCAAAATATCTTTTTGGTTGCATTTGTTTGCTGAAAGGAGCGTACATTTGCTAAAAGTCTCAGAATTCTTTGCTCCAAAGCTCCGGAGAGATCTTACATTTTCTGTTGAACATTCACATGGATATGCACTCAAATCTGTCAATAACTCTTTCAGGTAACCTTGGCAGCCACAAACGGCTCAACTGCAGAGTACACGCTCGTTGAGGAAGAACCTTGGAAAAACGATTAATGCAAGCACACAGACCCCAGCACCCCAAAAGAGAGAGAAAAACAACCTGTATTCATGCACATAGAACAAATGGGTTTTGTAGTTTGTTTGTATGGTTTCTATTCTTTTCTAACATGTTTAACAATATTATATTGTCTCATGTAACACAAGAATGTGAGGCCAAAAGCTCACACATGCAGCTGACATAATGTTATTGAGGCAGTTACATAAATTATTTGCGATGCTAATAAACATATATACATCAATTTCCAAACGTACATATTTTGAAAAAGGGTGAAAAAGGTGAATTGTTCAGAGGGAGAACAGACAGATAGCAAAGCTTCTTGCAAAGCCATTGCCCACTGCTCTTTATATGATGGAAACCTGCTCGTCTGCCTCTAGTTCCTTTGGCTTCACGACACCGTAGCACCTCTCGGTCCGAACAAATCTTACAGCCGCTTCTCAAAAGGCTAATATGGTGTTGCTAGGATACAAAAGTAGGGACGGAGGCGACCGCACACAGATGGAAGGAAAAGCACAAGTCGCGTTTATTTGGAGAGCCTCCTCCCCTGGAGCTGCTTTTATCACATCGCTCACAGGAGTGGGGGGTTTTCTGTCAAGGAAACGGATAGTAGGATGTTTCTCGTATGTATGTTGGTGAGTCAGTGGCACAATAGCACAAAAACCATTCAGGCCATTATATTTACCATTTCATTTCTTACAAGAGCCCTTTGTGTCATCCAGATGTACTGAAATATGCAATGCATGCCTTATGTTTAGTTCACGATAAAGCACAAATTGTCAATTTTTGTTGTACAACCAAAACATACAGTGAACATACAGCTGATGGCTTTAGTGTTAAAAATCATCAACCTTTTGAGATAACAGAAGCATCTTTTCAAATAGCATGCCTATTTTTATGATTTGGTGTGGTGTGTGCTAAACCTGGACTGGCATTATTAACGACTCCATTCTGATTATTCATATGTCCAGTATGCTGAGAGCACACAACCCATCTAAAGTATATTACTGCCTTTGTCCACAAACAATATATATTCAATTTGTATTCTACAGTTCGTCTAAAGCTTTTTTCCTTCCACTGGTGAGATATAGAGATATACTCAGGCATATAAAATATATTCATTTTTTTTCCAGGAAAAATTTTGTCAGGGAAAGCAAAAACATTGCTAATGCTAAGGCCCAGTTAGCCTGCTGGACTGTTTACTGTTTACCTGTTTTTATAATCCAAGTAGATTTAAAATACCTAAAGGCTCCATTTCTTTCACTGCAGACATCTTTTTTTCTTTTTTCAACATCTATTTTAAATGAGCTGAAGTTCTTACCTCTGAGAGACATCGCCAAGGCTATTGTAACTATTTTTAATCAGTTGTTGAGCTTTGGAAAATCTCATCTAAATTAACTACGAAGCCAAGTAGTATTACAATGGATGAGTTAAATCATCATAAAGAGGATGATTTTGTAACTGAGCTGAGCCAAAACGCTACCTCTGGATGTATTATCCTCGTATTCATCTCTGACAGCATCTATCCCTCATATTGCAAACGACTGTTTCTTAGCCCCGTAATGCTGCAAAACACACATAGGCCCAACTTTCCATCACTTCCTGACAGCCTGATCAATCAACATGCACATTCCACATACCTCACTATGCCAATCAGAGATTCAGAAATCCAGACGAACACACTTCTTCCCTGTGTGTGATCTTTGATCACAATATTCTAAAAATATAGTTTTTTTTTTAATTGTGTATTTGGATTATTTTAAACACTACCCTGACAAAGCTAAACAAAGATACCAGTAGAACTCTACCCCTAGTATGTCTAATTAATTTAAGACATCTTGCTATGATGCTTTGCGAACTAAACAGCTCTTTGATGTTCCAGTCTTCTAACCCTTGCCAAGAGAATAAATGCCATATGAGCACAAGTTCATGTTGCCACATTGTATAGTGTGTGGAATCATAATGTGAATTTTAGATGTTGTGAGTGTTGCCCATCAAAAGGCAAACGTTTGAGACTTCTGAGATTGTTTGGTCATTGAGCGTTGAGCCACTCTTGCGTTTTATCTATCTGTTAGATCTGTTAGATGCATGGACATTTAGTGTTTTTGCACCAGTTCTTAAAAAGCATGAATTTTAAAGTGCCTCCTTCCACTTTGTGTATATATTGAAGGCAGGGGCGTCGCTAGTGGGGGAAGAGCGGGCCTGAGCACAGAGCCCTGAGCTATTTGTGTGGCCCCTCAGGGTCCTCTCCCCCCAATCCACCCTCCACTGAGGGGACCACAGTCCACGAGTCCTGGCGAGGGATATTGACCCAATGAAATGTGCTGTACAGCAGGCCCAGAAAACCTAGCGAAGTCACTGATTGTAGCTTAGTTGAGATAGTGTTTAATTGATGTCACAGTTTTAATGAAGTGTTTTTGTAATCCTATAGAAACTATACCCACTCTGAGCTGCATAAGGTGCAATTCTATAGTGAAATAGAAAGGTAGTACTTTGCTTCAGTTTAATTCAGACTAGCTCTCTTAGCAATTTCATATCAATTATTCTATATGATCTATGTTTGGAATGTTTTTCCCTACATACATTTATGTGTCCCTAAATTTCTATGTAATCTAACATCAGACTCAAAAAAGAAGATATTTGTATATTATATATAGCATCTCCAAATATTGAAGCTATATTTTTGAAGATGTTATACAATAAACATGTCTTAATTTGATGATGAGAACATGTAAGAACGTGTTGTCTTATATATGCATTTGTGTTATATTTACATCAAAAATATGTAACATCCTAAAGTTATGATAAGACATGCTGAATTTGAATATACTTGATGATATAACCACACTGTATTAAGTCTGTGTTGAGCCACATCCACAGTATCTGTAAAACATTTCTCAGTTTCTTGCTGTCTGTCTTGCACTTGACTTCCCAATGTTTCTTTTCAGTGTTTCTGATGTATTTTATACATGCACACAGACACACATACACAAACATTTACAGGCAATTGTGATTATTTTTCTAGAATAACCCAGGTTTATTATTCTGACTTAATTGTGTACATCTGGAACCATCATTAGTAGATGGTTTGCATTTCTTACATTGGTCTTATACGTAAACCCATATGTTATTTTCTCTCACCCTTTTTGTGATGTGATTATTTTATGTAAAGGGAGAAGAAACTATAGTCAAAATGGTAAAATAAATGATTTCCTGTTTCTTAGCTGTGAAATAAAAGTGAATTCATGCATATCCATATGTGTTGTACCATTGGTGTACATACAGTTATTATAACTAATAAATGTTGATTCATAACTAATTAAAGTATTTTTTATTGACGTGATAGAGTGTTTAATACAGGCAAATGAGGATCTAGTGGGGACGGGGGTTTGGAACTAAAATAGTAGAGTGTGAAAGTACTTAAAGTGAGTCTATGCCAGTGAATAACATGAATAAGCACGTGTTCGCACCATAGGAAATAAAGAGCAGTGGACCGAGAACAGAACTCTGAGGGACACATCGAGAAACCAAAGCTATAGGGAGAGAGTTTTCAGGCCGTTCCTGAAGCTGTGGGAGTGTTAAATTCAATTTCAAGTTCAGGTTTATTTCTAAATCACATTTAATCACAGCCACAGGCCAACCAAAGTGCTGTATAATTACAAAACACAGATTACAAGATTACAATAATTACAAGTACACAGAAATAAAGAAAAAATCAACAACCAGTTAGTTAGAGACAATAAAAACGGGATAAAAATTACATGTTAAAAGCCGAGACAAACAAATGAGTTTTGAGACTGGATTAAAACTTAGATAAGTGGAAGCCATTTTAATTTGAGTTGGGAGATTATTCCACAATGTGGGGCCAGCCACTTCAAAGGCTCTATTACCCCTTGTCTTGAAATTCACCTTAACGGTACAGAACAATCAAGCAGTTTTAGGACCTGTTGTATCAAACGTGACAGCACTCTAAAACAAATCTGTAAAAATAGGGCACAATATACTGTATAATTTGATATAATATAATATACTGTATTATAATATACTGTATTTATTTTTTACAGGTGTTTTGCCAGTATTTTGAATTGTACACATCATTGCATTGTGTTTTAGAGTTAACAGAAATGTCCACAAAATTAATAGATAATGTCATGTGTAATGAGCTTCCAGTACTTTTTCTGTTATTTTTTTTACGGATTTATTGTTTACAGTGAGGAGCCAGTCAGTGCATGTCGCTAACAAGTCTGCATGTTCTGCGTGTCTCTGTGTGAATCAATGGCGTGGTTTCGTCTGCTACACAATCTCAAAGGCACGTTAACGCTCGCCATCTCGATGTACAGTATATGGATAGTTCACAACTTCATCTCCAGAGCTGCTCTGAGAGTCACTTCAGCAGCTTTACACCTTTTCATTTGAGAAAAACTACCATCAAATAAACTAAACTAAAACACAAAGATCTTCACTACAAACCACCAGAATAAAATTTTGGTTTAAAAAAAAAATGCATGGATAAAATAGATTTCATGGGACCCTAAATTAAAAGGTAGGTTACTCTGTAAAGTTTCATTATGAACAGACAATCTTACATTCATTCTTGAGGCCTAACAAACATGTGGAAAGCATTTCCTTCCTTATTAATGGTAAACAAATACTGTGAAAAATGTTGACATTTTATGATATGACTGAATATCTATAATGCTATTATGATATAATGATTTTTTGGTAATGATTTGGGCCAAGTTGCCCAGCCCCGTTTAGAACATAGTGTGTCTGTTAATGTCTCCTTTCACAGAGGCTGGAAACTCAGAACAGGGAAGCTGTTAAATGTCCCAGCTATGCTTACAGGATGGAGACTCATAACAGGTTTGTATCTGTTGCTGCTTCATACTTCTAAATGTTATGTCCTCCACTGCAAGGAGACTTTTTGATAGTTTGTTTTTCAATTTGAAATGAAATAAGCAGAAATGAGAAAACGGCGCCTTTATTAGATTTTTTTTTCTTTTTGCTCAAAAGTAGAAACCGGAAAAACAACTTAAAAATAAATGTTCCACATGTGGGCGGTCATGAGACAGCACTTTGCACAGATTGGTCAACCAAAAATTCTATTCAAAAATGAAAAAATGAAATCTCACTTTTGTTGTTGTTTTAATGTTTTTTTTTTTCAGAGAATAAAGGAATTGTTTTCTTGTTTACACTTATTTAATTTCAAATTGAAAAACAAACGATCAAAACATACATGGACTGTTCTTTTATTGTTGTTTTGTCTGTTATTGCCTTCTACTACAGGCCTGGTACAGTGGTCTTCTTGCTCTCTAAGGTGTTTAGCAGCCAGATTGTGCTGGCCATTTGGTGATAGTCCACCAAGATCAAATCAAAGTATAAAATACCTTTCTCTTGCAGTCAGAGAGAGGCTACACCATTAAACCGTGGTCTGGAATTCACTAGAATATGATGTTCACTACAAATAAGGGAGATATCAAAAATGTCCAGAAGTGCTAGGTCCAAGTCGAGGCCAAGTCCTGAACCAATCATTTTATGTTGTTATCTTTAATGTTACATAAGTTGGGCTCAGCTTGAAAACCCCTGCTAGAAGGGATTTGGACCGTCAAATTGATATGTAGTGTTGAGAATGTGTAGTTAATGAAATGTGACATAATGAATAGAAGTGTATGTTAAAATGTTGAATGAGGGTAAAATGCTTGTGATGTGGTATAATGTCAATTTAAATTGAATGTTCTTCTTGGGTGATGGACAGACTCTGGTGAGCCAATCAGAAAGAGGGTGGAGGCGGTGCATGCTGAGACTGTGAGAGGAGAGGATGTGCTGCTGTTCACTGAGCAACAAAAGATCTTACACAGGATAAACTGATGTTTAATGGGGTGAAAACTAGCTAGAGGCTTAAGCGAACATGACACAGCATGACACGGCCACTTGTTTGCTTCTTTTGGTCTTTAGATAGATGCTTCTTTGGTCTTCCAGCATCAATATTTGATTGCTATTTTACAATTTAAAAAAGGCACGACCAAGCCCCAGAACTGACAATGGACTGTAATAAGTCCACTGAAAAGGCAAGTTGAAGAACCCAAGTGCAGCATTTATTTAGTCCCAAAAGTGAGCAGGTACAAAAGACAAAATTGAATGAACTGAAGAACATTCAATTTCCTCCATTGATATCCCAGAATCTGACCAATGAGAATAAAGTGTGTCATCATCAAGGCTTTCGCAAGCCTCCCTAATAGGCTTGTTCGACTTCATGCGGCGCCGCAAAGATCGGCAGCCACTTGACAAAAGCAATGCATTCTGATTTGAATCGGCTTTGATTGGCGCTGCAGCTGCCTTATGATCACATGTGCCATCAAAGTACCACGAGAGCAAAACGAGACTAGCCGCCGAGGTCAGGTGCTGCAGTTGCTCAAAATCGGCTGCGAAAGCCTTGATGTCGACACACTTTATTCTCATTGGTTAGATTCTGTGATGACAAGCACGACGTGTGTTGTGAGTTTATTCTAACAATTCAATTCCAATAATGCTCACAAATCTGTTTTTATAACAATAAAAGCTTTTTTAGTGTAGTCACACTGTTATCTTGAGTCATTTTTATCAAAAACACTGGTTAAAGCATATATACCCACACTTTATCCGTATTTAGTAGCCTATATATTTATATGCTGAACTTTATTCTTGAACAGAGGATGCTGTTATAAGCAGTATATAAACAGTGTTTCTGTTGCTCATAAAAACGTTTCTGTGTATTTGACAAATATTGCATTTAATCCACTTCATCTGTGATAGAGTATGCAAACACCATGTGAGCATCACTACCAGGTCATTTCTTTTAATTCCGCCCCGACTACAAGCGGTTACTCTCACCAGCCGGTGGCAGGCTAGTGTAGTTCATCTCGAACAAGCCTATTCTCTGCCAATAGCAGGAGCACATGAGGGCAAGGGAACCACATGACTAGACAGGAACTATGACTATGACAAAATAAGAGACATGAAAACAATGAGCATGAAACAAAGCACAAAAATGGACATACAAAAAAACTCCATGGAAAATCCTTAAATTAATGCTATTCAGAAAAAATACACTAGCCTATATAAAAATAGTGCCATTCATTACAAACAACATTTATGTTAAATGCCGAGCCTAATCGATTTTATTTTAATCGAAACTGAAACTGCACCATGTTGGGCTCGTGCAGCTCTCATTCAGTCCAAAGTTTCCATATTTGCAATGTAACATTTGGATGCTAAACTATTTATGTAGAGAAGGCTTTGTACTTCAGTCAGGAAGAACTGATGATGGCACAGTTTGATTTTCAGCTGGCCAGTCAGCAGAAAGCGGGGGTTAATTCTCATCCAAATGTACAATTTAAGTAGGAGTCAACCGATATGTGTTTTTCAGGGCCGATGCGATACCAATTATTACAGATCAAGTAGACTGATAACCAGTATATAACAATATATATGTTTGGTGTAAAAATGAAATGAATGTCAAAATTAAGAATAACAAGGGCTCTGACAAAAACTTTCTTTAAATGCGTTTAAACATATCTTTAATTCTGAGAACTGTTAATAATAATAATAATAATAATAATAACATAAAAAGTGCAGGGAGCACCCAGCAGCATTCTGTAAACTTTTTGAAAAACTTAAAGACGTAAACAATAACAAGCAACAAATGAACAAATAATAGAAAATAAATGTAATATGTAGCTCCCTTAAGTTTAATAAGCTAATAAAATGGGTAACAATTAGTGGTCCCAATCCAGCAGCACCAGTTTGTGGTGCAGGAAGCAGAGCTGCTCGGCATGCTCTCCAGTGAGCTTGCTTCATCTCATTTCATAAATAGCAGACACTTCACTGAAGACACATGCACTAGGGACTGATGAGTAGGGTTGGGTCTCGTTTGAATTTGATTGATTCTGATTCCACTATATGATTCTTATTGATTCCTAGTTTTGATTAAAAAAAAAATAAAATTACATTAAAAAACAACAAAAAAAAACATATAGATGTCAAACATTTATTCTGTGTTTTCTTATAAAGCATTGTGATTAGGGTCTCCCCATTACCTCCCTGAGCGATCTGATGCTCTGTGTTGATGGCCCTTCATCTTCAAGTAGCATCTTGAGCACTGTCACACAGGGAGTGATGCTGGACACAGATGAATTACTGTAGCTCACCTCTAGTGTCACTTCCTTAATGGAGATGAGGGTTTCAACCAAATTGGACGCTGTCTCACTGGTGAGAAGCTGCACATGTAAAACTGCCATGTTTCCCAGAGTAGATGTTAAGAGCACGCTTTTGTTCCAATGT